TATTAAATAATTAATATGTATATACTATTTTTATCAATTTGTTGTTTTGTTACTATTTTTGAAGATTTTTATATTTTCTATTATTCTTGAAAGATTCATTAATTATGGAATTATTGAAAATAAATATAATAATATATATTTTTTTCTTTGACAGATAAGTTTTTTTTGTTTTCTTTTTATAATATTATTATCAAAAAGCAAATTACATTATATACAACAATACATATTTCATGTGGCATGTTTAATGGATGATATGTAGATAACATGTGATTTAAATCATGTGAAAACTACAATGCTTTAACCAACTTCTTTTTTTGCACATGACAATTGATTGTTCGAGAAAAATAATTGATCTTTGAATAAAATATTCTCTTCGTGTTATTTGTTGGATTTAATGAAAATTATTCAAATAAAAGAAAATCTTTGTTACGAATATTCAAATATAAATTCTTTATTCGAATCCAATCACTAGAACAGTTAACTCGTAGACATCGGAATTTCTGTATCCTTGACGAAAAACTGATCGATTTTATGACGTTTACAAGGCGCACTTCTGATGTCCTTTTATATTAATGTATATTGCATGTTTCCTCATTTATTTAATTATTGCCGCTCTTGTGAGATCATTAACTCTGGAACATCAGCGATTTCTGTGATCTTGACGGAAAATTGGTGATTTTATTGACGTTCACAAGACGCATGAAGATCTCCTGATGTTCTTTACTGCCAATGAATTATGTGTGTGCTGCGTGTTCGCTCATATTCTCGGATGAATTATTTGTTTATATTCATTTATTTAATTCGCCAATTGAACAGTTCTGTTGTTCTTTTGTGTTTTGCATCGATTTCCTATTATCACTTTCTCCTGTCTCAGATTAATTTCTGATATCAGTCTCCGTGCCTCCCATAAGGGAGCTGACAGATATTACATAATTATCAGGGGGTCTCAAAAATCTCACCTTCCACGTGACCAAAAATGATTAGCCAATTAAATATAATAAAAATTTCATCTGGGGGAAGGGATCAGCTCTATAGTAACTCAATATGACGTATATCTGTCAGTTCCCTAAACCACTTCAGCTGACTGCGATTATTGGTTAACCCGCTAACAGATTCAAACTAGATCGCGTAGAGGAATACAGAATATATAGAACAATTTTTATTTCCGTTTCTATATAAACTGAATTTGTCTTATCGAAAACGCCACACTCTAGGACGACGGAAGATTTTATTTCTGGGGTTATGAGACGTGTTATTTTCGATGCCTGTGTTCTCACAGCGCTGGGTGTAAATAAGGTGCTCTTGGTAGTAGAATTGAAGATGAGTGCGCGCGAGCAAATTATTTTAAATTATATGTATGCTTAATCTGTTATTTATTGACATGATTTTTTCTTTGATTTTAAGGATGTATGACTAATCGTCGACCACTATTATATAGTTGGGAGCCTAAACCGATGACGCTTAAGTGTCACTGGTTTCGGCTATAGAGTTGTAAAAACCCTATAATCCTAAACTATAACCTAAACCGTGTGTCAAATAGCATCACATGGTTTAGGTGCCCAACTATATGATCACTATCAAGTGATTTTATGCTTTTGGTCGTATAATGTACTCTTGCAAGGAAATCATTGAGCTGGCTGGATATATGCTACTACAATCATTATGTTTTGGACAGTACTTGTTACTATATTTCAAGCAAGAATGTTAACTGGACGGTAAAATATAAATCACCCCATATTATTATTAGGTATCTGAATCCCTCAATGTATTTGATTACGTAAAGCTGGCCATTTCCGCAAGACAACCAGAATATTATCTAGCGAAAGAGAAAACATACAATTCGGTAATGTCCCGATTGTGTCGCCGAGTGGTGAGGTTCTATTTCGAAGTTTAAGTTTCATGTGAAATCTGGCATGCTTTTGTTAATTGTTGGTTCGAACGAGTCTAAGTAATTCTTTTTAATTCTTAAGAACCACATTCTTCAATTTTCTAGGTGATACTACACAAGCGAAGCTTGAAAGATATACAAGTGGATCTCGTTATAACATCATAATAAAATCGCAATATAACGACATAATTTGGGAATTTTTACTAATAGAACCAAGAATGTCGTTTATAACAGGGTATACAGAAGGTATGGATAACCGGATGAGTATGGCACAGGGATAATGCTGACACTACTTACCATCCATATCATACAGTTATTCGTATTACCCCTTCGTTTTGCCAACTATATCTAATGGTAGTCAAAAGTATGTCTAATGAATGAATCGCAGTACATATATCAATATCAGAAGCTGGCTGATTAGTTTGTATCTTTAATTTGTTTAGAGCAGATGTGGTATTTGATGACAAAAGAAATTTGAAGGACTATAATATATCGAGTTAGTGTGATAACGTCTAAATTGCCAACATAACAAGCAAATGTTGAAAAATTGATCACATGATGGTGCATTTCCTTCGATCCTGTTATATATATATTTATTATCATAACATAGTTTTACAGATTACTACTATAACCAAGTGCTTGGGATTCCGCTTTTTTGTTACATGATCTTGACATATATGATCATACACTTAGATTACCTACCCATTACTATTAACATTATTCATTGTGCAAAAGAAATAATGCTTTCCTTCCATCACTACCATCGCCATCACCATAAATAAATATTCTCCAAATTTAAAAATATTCACGCGGCAAAAAATGACCGCCTATAGACACATGGAATACCTACCACTTATTTATAATATACAAAAATCCTTTTCTTTGCTATCCAACGGCAAAGAAATCAGCAATTTTAAGTGACTGACTCTAACCCTGTATTTTCCTTTTTTTTCATTATATATATCTCTCTATCTCATTTCTTGATATTTAGTAATTTTATAACCCCAAATAATTCTAACTGTTGCCGAATTTACCGAACGTGAAAAAATCGAGTTGAAAAGAAAAAACAAGCAGTCCCGATAACCTTATGAACCATGTTATTATTGTGATTCATAAAGAAGAATCAACAAAAGAAAAATAACGAGATAAAAAGAAAATAGCATTGCTCTTTCTTCCCACACTTTGATTATCTTTGATAATGGGTCAGTACGGACGATAGCGAGAATTATCCCGCCGATCATCCTGCTTACTCTGTCTTCCATAACCGCCTTGATCATAGCCAGTATTAGTGGTGCCGCCACCACCACCACCACTACCATTACCACCGCCGCCACCGCCGCCACCACCACCATATCCGGGATCATTGTTACGGTATCCACCTGGATTTCCATAGCCTCTATCATCTTCATTGTTATAACGACCACTATTATTACCACCATAAGAAGGGGGTCCACCTCTGCGAGCACGATACCCACCTCTTGTACTCCCACCGACATTGTGTCTACCGCCTCCATGTCCACTTTCTTCAGCAGGTCCATCCGAGCGCGGTGTATGACATTTATAACATTCTGTACGTCTAGCAAAATTATTTGCGTTGCATCTATTTTTGGAGAACAAAAAAGTTTATGAAGTGCATCGCAATCGTTGTTAATAAGAATATTTAATTCTTACGATTCACATGCCCAATCTCCATCACGTGGTGGAGGACCACCTCGGTTGCCACCAGCATTACGATCTCCACCTTTTCCTCCAAAGCCACCGCCACCGCCACCACCACGTCCCCTTGATCTGGCACGGCCACTTGATCCACCTCTAAAACCTGTTGGTCCCAATTTACGCACAGACATTTCTACTTTGATCAACTATGATAGATAAAATATATAGTGATTTGTCTTTAGAAATGACTTGCTAATAAATAAGAATAGAAAAATCTTTTAGTACCTGACCGAGAAATTCTTTGTTATGAAACCAATTAATTGCAGCAGCAGTAGCATCAGGATCTTCATATGTCAGTGTCGCTGAATTTTAAATAAAAAGTCAGATATTTTTCTATGGAAATCAGAAATCCTATCACTTACCGTCACCCTTGGGTATCCCTGAGACTTTATCATAATATATCCATACTAGACATAGTAAAAATTTAGAATTAATTTAAATAGGAATATAAGTAAAGAAAACCATAATTTAAAATTAACTCACTTTTCGGTTTCTGAGTTCTCTTATCTATTTTAATTTTGCCAAGACCTCCAAAGAAATTCGCAAGTTTTTCTTCAGTCACATCTTTACTTAAATTTGATATATATATTGTATCTGTGCTTTTATGGACCACCGAATCCTCATTATAATCTAAATCAAAAGTTAATTAACAAGCTGTTGATATAAAATCCAATAAAAGAACAAAAGCAACTTACCTTTATAACTGCCATCATCGCCTGCACCTCTATTACTACCATAATTATCGTATGATACAGTTTCTTTAGGTGATGGGCCATAACCAGTGTCTCTAACATTATCTCGAGGCTTATATGCGCCACCACTACCACTAAAACTATCACCATATTGATTTTTATTATCGTTGTAACCTGAATTCCCGCTACCTTCACCGTAATTATTCACCCGATCATATGGTGGCTTATTTTGTGTTGATGGAATATTACCATAGCTACCGCTACTATTGTGATTATATGGAGTGGGTGGTGCATTGGACCCTCCAACTACATGTGGTGGTGGAGGATAATTTGTAGCCGTAGCAGCCGGTGGATAATTGTAATAACCAGTCGATGAATAGCCAGTCGAGTCATAATTATCAGTCCTCGAGTATCCTTGTGAGGCGGCCGTGGAACCCTGCGGTGGTTGTGGCGCCGTTGAAGACTGTCCCGGCGCTTGTTGTTGTGGCTGTAAAGGTGGTTGCTGTGTTGATAAGCCAGCACTTGTATTATTATTATTATTGTTATTATTGCTGCTTTGGGTATTAGTAGCTGGCGGTTGTCCACTTCCGTAATAATACTCGGAAGAATTCGGTTGAGCTGTATACCCACCTTGATTATACGCTTCGTTATCTATTTACGAGTTTTGCATTCGTTTATGATGCAAATACACAACAATAATAGTAAACGGTCAGTAGAAGCAAAATTCAACAAATGAGGTGGATGCAAAATAAGTTTCGTCAGCTTGCAAGCGTTATGAGACAAGAAATCGTAGAAACTACGCAATTTTCTGTTCAAGTTTAATGAATAAACTTGTAGAATTATTCATTCTTGAGCTTTAAGCAAGCATCCACCTAAACTTCTAGAGAAAAAACAGTTGACTAAAAACAGATAGATAGAACTTTCGCCTATTCTTCCAAGCTAATGCGGGAAAGAGGATTAGGCCTGTCTATCTCGCCCAATCTTGGACATACATTGCGGATAATTGTAGTTTTGTTCACTGTAACCTGATGAAGAGTATGGATCCATTATATTTTGTTGAATCTCCAAGTGTGTGTGAAAGAATAAAAGCTATGAATTTTCTATTTATGCAGTGACCGATTATGTAGTACACCACATATTGTATGATTGCATAAAACCATTATTCTTGAGCACGTGATTAACGATAAATTATAAACTTATAATTGTGTTGCAATTGATATTCTAATAATTTCTATGTACATCGACTCTATAACGAACCTCTTTATGGACATAAATTTCAAAATTTTATATTAGTTTGTTATAGAAAGCAGAGATTTTTATATAACGAACTTTTTTTTACTAACCGTCAGTTCGTTAGAGTTGGCTGTATTTATTCTCGCGTTTATTAATATTGGTGTCTTTCAACTTCTGGACTTTTTTGAATGGGTTAAATAAGAATTGAGACTTAAATTAAGGTCCAAGTTTCTTGGCGCATAATTTTTATAGTCGCATAAATTATTCAAAGTTATGTGCATTGACTGTAAAACAACGAATTATGATGTTCAACATTAACGTTAAGCTTGAAATTCATTTTTATGTCACACGAAAAATACACGATGATCATCAGAGAAACGATATCTTTTTATCGTCCAAGACCAACGTTTTTTGCAAATATTCATCAAGGTTATGAAATATTTTTTCGGGCACAATAATCGTGTTCAACGTATTCTCCGGATCGTCATCCTCTTCATCGTCACTTGCCTCTTCGAATCCAGTAAGTAAAGGATCGTTCTCGTATGCAGGAAATAAATACCTAAATGATTTTAATTAGTTGGGTGTGAATGCCGAAACTTTCTAATCATTTTCTACATACTGTGGGTCTTTCCACAGAGGATCACTTAAATCAGGCACTTTAGAAAAACAATTTTCACGTTCCATGTGTTCCGTCAGTTTTTGAAGATCATCAAATGAGGTATTACAAGCCATGCATCTAATAAAGGAAGTTTGACGCCTTATATAATTTATGAGTATGACAGTTTTGTAGAAATCCAAACCTACAAAACAAAAATATTAATAGAATAAACATAAACATGCACATAAGAAAATTTACCAAAGAATTTTAATAAGAAATAACCAGACCCATTCCGTGTTTGATTCCTAATAAGTCAAATCCATGATTTTGCTTCATATGTTGACATGCATTCTTTGGCGAATTGCACATACTTTCACAGAAAAGACACATTGTAGGCTCTGGTTCAACCATCTCATCCCAATCATCCCACGAGCTATTATTAATCAAGTAAATATTATGGAACGATCGATTAATTAATTTTGACTGAAAAGACATGGACTCACTTATCGCCTCGATCTTCATCAGATTCATATTTTTCATTTTCGTAATTTTCCCAATTTTTCCCCGGTTCCTAATTATTATAAAGAATGCATAAATAAAAGATGGTATTGATCACTTAAAAGTATCGTGAAAAGATAATTCACCAGATAGTTTATGACATAGAATCGATCGTAAATTCGATTTCTCGCGTTGATTTTGAAATGTTTTTTTTTCCGCATATGTTTACGTAAAACTGCTGGACTTGTAAAGATTTTTTCGCAGTACAAGCATTGTAACCTACATGATTAGAAAGATTAGAAATCGAATCGTTTTAGAATTATATGTCTAAGACACAAAAACATTCGATTAGAGAAAATCCATTATACTTTGTCAGTTTCTGATCGAGAATATCCAGAAATTCATTCACGTTTACTAAGTTATCGGGAAGTCCTATATTGAAGTTGTGCTCAGAAAACATATGACGAAAGAGAATTGACCTAGAGATAAACAATGATATAACGATAAACACGTTACACATATTTTAAATTAAACAAAGAAAAATAAATCCTTACCTGTTTTGACAAGTATTCTTACAAAACAAGCATTTTCTCCCTTCTTTAGCATCCTTGTCACGCTCATATGACTGGATCCGAAGAATTTCATTCTAAATTGTAAAATTAATTGATTTGCGGACATGTGAGCAGCTAATTAATGTATGCAGTCAATTTTACCAATTTCTGAAGTTGCAGGTTTTCGCGTAACGTTTTATCTTCAATAAGGATTTCAGGGTCAATAATATAAAATGAATTGTCTGGCGGCGTATGATCATACGTACACAGGTGCATTAATGAAGTGAACGAATCAGGTAAATAGTGATAAAAGTCAAATTAAAAAAATAAACAAACCTTTATTTAATATCGCTCCGGTATTCTCTATCCCAATATCAGTGATCTTTTGTGACCAATACTCCAGGTAAAGCTCCAATATCATGTAGACATGGTGCAAATTAATAAGGACAAGCTTATGCTGTTCTTTTAGGTGTTCCGAGAGCTCTGTGCTATTCATTATTGGTTGTTCTAAGGGACAATCCTTGAAGGGACACAGAATAAAGACATTGACGTGAAAAGGTGGAAGAGACGGTAATGCATCTGGATCAGGTGAGTTGGACCTGGAGCTTGAATCTGATTCTTCATTTGAAGATGTTTTACTGATAGTTGCGTAATAAGAGGCGCGAGGTTGTGAAACAATATTGGTCGGCGAGAAAATGTTTTCCCGAGATTCCGGCACGGAAACAGTTTTTGAAGAATTATAAGAGCTATGCCGAATTCTCGAAGAATTCTTCGTCTCAGCAGTACTTAGTTTAGTGAATTGACCACGAGATTTTCCACGATTAGAAGAGCTATCATTAGTTCGAGAAGTATTTAACCTCGAATTTTTGACTATTGTCCACTCGTTCATGTGCGAAACTAAAAAACTACGTAAATGTGTGTCATACTTATGTCATATGTTCAGATATTAAGATGATAATAAACATTCGTGCAGCAAAGTGCATACACACAGTATTTCCTAGGAATATTTTGGCACGCGACTAACAAGCTAGCATCAAATAATGCATGTTATCTAATAATTATCAGAATGGCGTGTCAAAGTTTAAAAGATATAAAGAGCTTGTATTCGGGAGCAAAAAAACCAACTTGTTGCGTTTTTACATTCTCCTTTTTTTCCTGTTGATATAATATATATTTAAAATTATTTAATACTCTAATTTAATAATGCACACTCGTAATTTGGTTGGTTTCCCTTCTGGTTGGTTTTATATTAAATCTGTATGTTCGAATAAAGTACTTGATGTATGTTTCGCCTCTACAGAACCAGAGGCTGAAGTCATAATGTACCATCTCAAAAAACTTGATGAGGGAGTATGTATCGTCATTTTAATGTTATGAATGCAAAGGTAGTTCGAAACTAAAATTTATTTGTTTTCTCGAATTAACGTTTACAAAGCATATTGACAATCAGCTTTGGCGGCATGAAGCTGGCTACTTAATTAATAAGCGAAGTGGAATGTGTTTAGACACAACCGGGGGTACGTATCGCGTCTATTTCTGGCATGTATGATGTGTGATTTTAATGCTAATTTATTCTACTATTTCAAATAACAAAGGTCGTCTCGTGCTAAGTAAGTTTGATGATCTTGCAATACACGCGCGCGTTTTAAACTTTATGTTTACTCGATCTTTTCGTTTAATTAGTGTCAAGAATTTGTCAGACGCCTCGAAAATCAAATAATGAACTTCACAATCAACGATGGATATACACCAAAGACTATAAAATTGCTTCGATGAATAATGAAGATGTGGTTTTAGATATTGAAGTATGTTCTTGCATGAACAATAATGATTTTTCTTTTGATAATAATGATAATGACCAGAAGAATGGCATCTTTTTTAGAATTGCTCCACAGAAGATTTCGCCAACGTGATCCTGTATTCTCGCAAGACGGAACTAGAAGATCATGAAAACCAACAATGGGTGTTCATACCAGCAGGATTGGCGATCGTACTATTACGATCATAATAGATGTACATATACAAAATAATGTTATACACATAAATTTTATAGAATTTAATTATACAAACATGTATTATTTAGTGTTACCAAATAATGAGGGAACGCTATTTTTTAGCATTTAACAGCATCCACAAATAAGATATTTATGGTTGATTTTTTCGTTAATAAAAACATTAAGCATTTTCACACGATTTATATAACCAATATTACTTGATGTGATACCAGTTAGATCCTTTAATTAATAAATAATCTAAATATTACGTAAATAATGAGAACAAAAATATTTAAATACACAAAAATCACCGAGACTATTGAAGCGGCTCATCGCTATTTGAGATGCGATTAAGGTGAAGATAGACATCTGTTCCGAATCTGAGTGTAATTTAACAAAGGTTAATTAACTTTGTTAAGAAATCTTGATTTATACGCATCAACTATCTTCTTACCCTTCCATTGAAATCAATTTCAAATCACCCCCAAAATAACGTGCATACTAACCGACCGCGTTATCGTTTGTTAGCAAAGAAAAAAAATGAAACGTTATAATTTACAAAGAAAATGAATATAAATACACGTACCAATCGGCTAATTGGTAATCCATAGCCAAATCCTGCCATCGGGGCCTTGAAATCAGACTTATTAAAATCGGGGTCAAGCTCCTGAGCTTCAGCGGTAGTATACATGTAAGTCCATACTAACGGAATGCTACTTCGTGGGATACCACCACCTTCATCAGATATTTTTACTGTAATATCCTGACAATAAAAGTTATAATATGACGAATCAGAAAGAGGTACTCGAACTTTTCGAAACAAACTAGAGAATACCTCTTTTCCTTCTGCCACGATAACCTTGATAGTAGGATACTCATCTTTCCCATAGCCAAATGTTTCAACAACAGCACGCAAGCTGTTCTTTAGTAATTCGAATAACATATGACTCAGATGCGACGGCACATAGGTGAAAATCAAATCTTGAGGACAATGAAGTTGTACTTCGGGCGCTTTAAAAAGCCCATAGTAATCTTCGCAAATGTATTTTGCATTGTCTGCAGCTTCTTGTACTGTTTCGGCGATATTAGTTTTCGTGCAAATAATGCCAACGTAGTCTGGTCGTGACGGTAATCGATTGAGCGCCACTTGTTGGCCTATTAATACTCTAATAGTTTAGCCAAGCTACGTTTTGTTAAAATATAAGAAATCTTTTGCAATCACTGCAAAAATCAACAAATTTAACCATCTTGTTGTTCTTGTCGAGCATACTCACCAATTAACATACGAATTCCGATACGGGACATGTAAAACCGATCCAAAAAAGATTGTACATCCGTGTCAACTAACTTCGATTTTCTATGACTTTTATATTCCAAAATGCCCTGAGCTGAAATCATGATTAATGCGAATAGTTTGTACAGTAATCACTTCTGCTATGGACACGGTTAGTGCGATTAATATTCTAATGTCGTTAAGAGATTGATTGGGCCTTACCCTATTTTATATATTATTTAATTTTATCAATAACTTAATAAATTTTTCTGAACTGTGCATCGTATTTATTATGTGTGTATAAATAAGTATTTTCTCTCCAATAAAGAAAAATACTATACCACTGTTGTCACCACGGGATCATGTCTTCGTTTAATTGCTTCAATTAGTTTTGTGAACCTTTCGTTGTAATCATAAACTTCGGGAGGCCAATCAATACCATCAATATTCGAATAATATCTATGAACTAATCAAAATTAATCATTATTTCAATGATATTACTTGAAAAAATAATACCTGTGTTCTAGGGGTACCACAGGTTTCTGTGGCGCACTTGAAGGGAAATATTTTACAGATAGATTTGGCCGACTTTCAGGTAACTTTGTTTCCTTCAAAGCACTCGCAGCAAATTTCTCTTTAATGCTTTGAGGAAGATTGGCTTTTGGGAAATTTATCAAATCCTGATTAGATTAGAAAGAATATTTAGTAGTTCTTGAGCATATGAAGGATCCATCAGTTTCTACAAAAACGTTTTAATTCTCATCGTACTAATGTATTAATTACCTCAAAAGATTGAGCATACCAATTTTTAACTTTAACAATCGACGGCATAGTATTCAAATTATGAGGCAATTCATCCAGCTCCTTGACACGATGCGCAAGGCGAATCGGAAGTTCCTCTAGGAATATTTGAGGCATTAGAGACTTCATATTTTCTAATTTCAGAATGCTTCATCGACATTTAATTCACCTGCTAAAAATTGGCTTGCTCGTAATAGTGTCCCGGGAGAAGGATTTTGCCCTAAAAGAGGGCACATAATGAACTTTAAGCAAGAGTTGAGGGATAACAATGAAGGTATTATGACCACCAAAGAAAACCAATTTTTCTACCAAACAAGACCATTTGTCGCAGTGAAACACCAGTCTGAGGAAACTTGGCAAAATGTCTGATTTTTTCATTAAGCTGAGTCGTAAGCCGGTACACCATCACGAAAGCCTTATCGTTATTTCTATATTCTTGAATATTGTATAGTTTTTCAACGAATATTGCATAAAGGAAACGAAAGATAAAACAACTATTTTAAGCATGCGAAAAAAAATGAGTAAAGTGAGTAAAGAAAATACTCCTACTCTCCACTAATTCACGTGACTCCGAATTTTCAAGTAGGTTAAGTCACGTGGATTAATATGACGCGTGACGCATTTTTTTTTAGAGAGGGTGGGACACCTTCATAACTTCACATTATTTATTATCGTTATGTAAATGTGCTGGAAGTTATAATTTAACTGTCAGGTAAATATCTGATATTTTTGTACTCAAATTCTCAATTTCAACATAAATTCTCGTAGATTCTTGAGCACACATGGAAGAACCTTTACTTATTCTGCATGGTACTACAAACCTATGGATCGATGGGGAACGGCAACAGATCCAAAAATTTCTTCATAATAATATTCGAGATTTTGCAGAGAAGTGTCAACAGGAAGTAGAATGGCTTAATGAATTTTTAAAAAACATCGTTCCAAAAAAAAATGATAAACAAAAAGAAGAAAAGGTTACAGTAAAAAATATTGACACGATTTCAGAAAGCAATAGTAACCAATGTAAACAACAACAACAACAACGATTTGCAAACACTGACTCAAGGCTTAAGGCAGCGGCACAACGAAGGGAGGAAGCTCAGAAAAAACGAGAAGAGGAGAGGAATCGTAAATTGAATATTTTACGAGAACTAAGGCAAAAGGTAATGAATGCATTTAATTTATTTTATTTATGAGATTTGATCAGCTGGCTAAAGTTAATTTTCTGACATTAAGGAGGAAACAGTAGCATCTTTCAAAAGAAAGCGTAACGAAGAACAACAATCCCTCATCGAGTCAAAAAGAAAAGTCGAACGCTCAAAATTGATAACATATACGGATAAAAAGACTCCCATCTCCACAAAATCAAGCAGCATTCCCAGAAAGACAATCATCAATGTGTCTTCGAGACAACCACAACAGCCACAACCACAACAACGGGAATCAAAACGTTTACGTACTGCCGAGTTTGATGACGATACGGCTGCTATAGTATTAGACCAGAATAATCACAAACCTCTACACCAAGAATTTTCCCTGGTAGAAAGGTTGCGACAAGAAGCACAAGTTTTACGACAAAAAGCTTTTGAAAAAGAGGAAGAAGCCAGGCGTCTGGAGGCTTTACAATTTGAAACTCTTCGAAGGGAGGCTGCTGCATTGATGCGCTTCGACAAGAATTCATTCTGGCATAAAGAACCAGACCAATTCTTCTCTACTTATAATAATAATAATAATAACATTAACGTGAAATTAGAGCAAAGTCCCAAGAATGAAAATTCACAAAAAGTATTTACGAAGAGGGTGACATCATTATCGAATGTTCTTGAAAACGAAAGCGAGTATGTAATAGAAGCTATCCAAAAGAGTGTATCTTATGATAATTATTCATTTTTATTTATTTATTATTGCATTATAGCGATTCAAGTAAAGGTGAAAAAATCACTACTAGATCTAAAAGTAAACAAGACTGGTGTAATGGTCCGGAAATCTCTGCCGCTCTAGCACGACAAGCTCAAATCGATCCGGATACTGTCTTTGGGCAGATGGAGCCGATTCCAATTGAAGGTAATAAATAAACATAGTAAGAATGATGATAATAATTTTCAGAATAAATGAAATTACCTCTCTTCTCCAAAAAAAACCAGATATATTCAAACGTGGAAAATTTTTAAGAAATAGATCGAGTTCAGAAATATGGGAAGGCCCCGATGATCTGACAATAGAGGAAGAGTATGAATACAAATTAAAGATGGGATATATTTGATCTATTTAATGAAAAAAAGCAAATTTATACATTGCAACATTAAATAGATCATTTAAAAATCCAGAAACTGACCCTGTAATTACAACGAGATACGACTGTATTATGTTTAGATCTGCGTAAGCTCCGTGATACTTTTTATAATTTTTATAATCAAATCGAAATTCGTATTCATGCTTGTGCTTGTTAATTTCTTGTTGTCAATTCAAGATATACAATGTTATTTATTATTGATAATAAAAGAACATGAATACATGTCACAAAAATGCAAACAAAGCCTGTTCATTTCTTAAAGTTCATCTAAATATTAGATGTTTATTGAACAATTTATATTTAATTCTTATTGATTAAATTTTATATTTAATTCTTATTGGTTAAATTTTATATTTAATTCTTATTGGTTAATATTACCATTATTTTATTGGACAATTATTTGTAGAAATTTGAATTTCTATTTGAATTTTTAATCAAATTTCAATTTGAAATTTAATTTAATTTGTATTTTTATTGATAGTTTAACTTATAATTTATTTATAAATATAACATTTAAAGAAAAAGAATCTTGCAAAATCTAACAAAATCTTAAAAGAATCTTGAGAATAATCAATAAATAATAATTAAAAACATATAATAAATCAATAATAAATTTATTTATTAATAAAATTATATACAGTGGCTAACGTAATTATGGAATCGCGTGTTCAAATTTATTAATAAAACATAGTAAAAATTGAAATTTTCTTTCTATATTAAAAGTTTTGATTTTCTTAATG